CTCACACCTCCGTACCGGAGCATCTGGGCTTCTCCTCTGAACATGTCCGAACCATCTAAGCCTCGCTTCCCTCATCTTGTCATCAATGGGAGCCACATGCACCTTCTCCCGGATATCATCATTCCTAATCTTATCTATCCTAGTGTGCCCGCATATCCACCGCAATATCTTCATTTCTGCTACTTTCATATTCTGGATATGTGAGTTCTTAACGGGCCAACACTCAGCCCCATACATCATGGCCGGTCTAACTACCACTTTATAAAACTTACCTTTGAGTATCGGCGGCACTCTCTTGTCACACAGGACTCCAGATGCTAACCTCCACTTCATCCATCCTACCCCAATTTCTAAAAGTATTATGCATCACAAATTTTGTACTGAAGTTTTTATGAACTATTTGAAAGAATATCATTAAAGAATAATTTATTTAAAATAATAATACTATAACATACTCTAACAATAAGGGCAAATGGACTTCTAATGCAATATAAGGAGAAATGAAAAAAATCCCTTCATTGGATAAGGTTTTAGAGTGAAATGGATAAGATTACTTAAAATCTTTAATCAACAACGATATCTCATATAGTAGAGTATGGAGAACTTAGTGTATATATAAATGTTACCCCTATCTTATGAAGATAGAGAGGTTGTTTCCAATAGATACCTGGCTCAAGAAAAGCATAAACACAACAGTAATAGGAAAGAAAAATAATAGTGTAAAAGCCATAAAAATAAAGCAGTAACAACAACAAGATATTATGATGACTGAAATGAAAGAACCAACGGATAATAATAGGAACCTAAGAGTAAGAAAATACGCAAATATGTGCTAATACTACTAGCATGGAAAAGAAGAACGCTCGACTACTTACTAACCTCCTACCATAATTTCGACATCCACACCATCCTATCAAGGGGCATGTCCATGCTAAGTTAAAGATGTGCCATGTTCAACCTAATTACCTATCACCAACACTTGTTAGGTCTACCTCTACATCTCCTAAAACTCACTATAGACCACTATTCACACCTCCCCATCGGGGCATGTGGGCCTCTCCTCTCACATGTCCAAATTATCTCGGTCTCGATTCCCGCTTTTTATCTACCACGGAAGCTACTCCCCCGTGGCAAATATATACATTCATGATCTTATCTCTCCGAGTATACCCAACATCTATCTCAATATTCTCATTTTCGTCACTTTTATCTTCTGGACACGTGAATTCTTGACTAGCGAACACGTCGCCCATACATCATAATCAATTTTACAACAACTTTATAGAACTTGTCTTTAAGTTTTGGCGGCACATTCTTACACCAAATGTGAGCCTCCGTTCATCCATTTTAATATGATTTGTGTCATCATTGTTAATCTTTCAATTGCCTTGTATTATCGACTTAAGATACTTTATTTTTAATTAAATAAAAAGTGTTTCTGCTTTATAAATCTTACACGATGAAAATTGGTAATAGGGAATTCTAAAGTAAAATCAAATATATAAAATGAAAAATCAAAAAAAGAAGAAGAAGAAATAAAATGTTGNGGGTGGGTGGGTGTTACGTGGTATTGAAAAAGGAGAAAGTACATATATTCCGCTAGTTTCAAGGTACGCGCGGGAGTAAAGGTGGACAAAAGGCGTCGGTTTGTAGGTGAAAAAAAAACTTCCTCTTTTCTCCTGTGAGTGGACGGTTGATTTTTATTCTCTCTTCTCTCTCTCGCAAAAAGGACTCTGTTTTTGTGTGGAGAGGAGAGCAACTCTCCTTTCCCTTTGTTTGTATCTCACCTTTTGTTTGTCTCTGAATTTTCTTTTTCCCTCTCTCTCTCTCTCTTGCCTGTTTGGTTTGTTGCATTTGATCAAGGGAGAGTGGTGGGAGCTCGGAATCAATGGAAATTCCGGCGAAATTCGTTATCTTCACGCGCTGCTAATGGATGAATCGTCATCGCCATGGATATTTCTATGTCCGAAGGACCTCCCTCTTTGTCACCGTCTCTCCGCCAAGGTCCTCCTTTCTTATTCCTCCTTCTTGCTCTACGCGCTCATTCTCCTCTGTCTCTGACACGCACGTACGATAATTCTGTTAATTTTGGGATGATCAATGTAATTGTTGAAGTTAATGTGCACTGTTGTGATATAAATTAAAAGCTGTCTTTTATTCTACGTATTAATCAGTAATTTGAGTTTGAAGTAGATGTAAACCGAGACAAAAGGTCTTCATAAGCTATAACTTGGATATTCTGTTTTTGCATTGATGTCTGTTTTTTTTTTTAAATTAGAAAAGAGCTGTTTCTTTCCCCTATGTAAAGTTGATACACGAATAAATTTGTTTTAATTCTAAGATCACATGCACACATACATAATATAAAACCTAAGGGTGTTGATGAAGCTTGAATGAAGATCTTGGGAGACTAGGGTTGAAATCCTAGTTATATGTTTTTTTTTTACGTCTTGCCTTCGTCTTAATGGATAAAGTAACCACGAAGTGGTAGCTGTACTGGTGGAGGATTCTAAGTTTTGGTGGAATAGTCCTGGTGGGCCGCAAGTTAGCCGGATTACCACAATTATCAAATTTATATAATATATAGCGCACACATCTTATATGTATGCAAACAACCAATTACAACTATGCCGTACATATATGAGCGACGGATTCAGGATTTAAACTTGATGGATTCAACCTTTAAGATTCTTAGCATTGACCTATTGTGCACTTTAAATTTTGGGTTCCGATCTAATATTTGTTACAATTTTAGTGAGTTTTTAATATAAATTTATGCTCCATGTCGAAAATATTAAGTTCTGATGAATCCGGTGCCGAAATGCTGCATCTGCCTCTACATATACGTGCTACATGTGTATGTATAGTATGCGTGTTTGTGTGTTTATTATATATACTTGTATGTGCAAGTATGTGTGCGTGAGAGAGACATTCCACAATTATTTTTCATCCCTCCTTTTGTTTACCTACTTTTGTAGTATTAATACTTGCCTCTTTTGACCCAGAACCAAGTATGAGTGACCAAGTAGAACAATTGGTCAGTAAGACCGTATGAGGAAAGTAAATTTCATAGGGAACTGCCAATCTGCTTTATGTTTATGCATTGATTAGTTTCAGATATGGCTAAAAGAAAGTTGGTACATAATTAATAGAACTCTTATCCTTTTCATCAAAAGAAAGAAAGAAAAAAAGTAGTACATGTCGAAGTGTGACGTAAGTAGGGATGTGAGGTTGATCAACTATGATGCTTTTCTCATGCATTGAAAAACTTATTTACTTGTAGTGAACCTAAACTACGTATTATAGTGCTTGTCAACTTGCCTTTATATTGACTTTCAAGGACTAACATGTCAGCTGGACTTGCAAGACTTATGTTTTGTCGTTATATGTATATATTCTAAACTCTTTCTTTCTTTTGGAGAAAAGTGTATATCTTGTCAATGTGTTCAAGAGACATACTGGCATTTGATAATTTCTATATTGGAGGAACTCAAGTTATTTTGTTTGTAATACTGGTCAGAGGTGTAGTATAGTTACTGATTTAACACGATGCAGATCTTACAGAATAATAAATGTATGGTAGTGAGATTGGTATTAAAGGATAATTGAGTTAGATTAGTGCAACATTTAATACCATTATATTATTCCATACTGTTGGTATTTCAGACTCTTTATGGCAAATGAATTTGAGATCAATGGAATCAATGGAGTCTGGACCTTATCCTGTCCGTGAAGGTGAACCAGATTGTTCTTATTACATCAGAACTGGTCTCTGCAGATTTGGATCAACTTGCCGATTCAACCATCCACCTAATAGGAAACTGGTAAGGAATGCATATCTGTTAATAGAGAGAAAAAAAGAAAACGAGAAAATTTAAAATGACAAGAAATGTATTGGCTTGGGTAAATTCACTTTTTAATAGTCTTTGAAATGTTGGTGACATGCCTCATTTTGTTGTTAGCCTCTCACTAAGAGAACACCAGTTAGTGTAGTCAGTCTATCATTTTGTTGTGTTCATGATTTGGTGGGATTATGATTATTTGGTCATTCAAAGAGGATTGTTATGATGTGATTAGGGATGTCAGTTGTTTGGAAGAGACTAAGAGGTATTATAGATGGGATATGATGACTTGTATCTTATGTTTGTTGTATTGAATTAGCAGCAGGTTGTAGGTAAGATAACAACAACAACAACAACTACGCTTCAGTCTCAAACAAGTTAGGGTTGGCTATATGAATTCTTAATTCTCCATCTCCTTGCTAAATTTTAAACAAAATTGTCATTTTACAATCGAACCGGTTCCCTTGTTCCTCTCTCTTTTGCCCCAATCCCTCATATGATTTCATCTCACAAAGTTCAAGCATGAATCTGTAACCCGCCAAAGAAATTTAAGACCCACTCTTTATACAACAATTTAAAAAGGATGCAACCAATTCATTATATTTTTACAGAAATTTAATATCTGCAGCGTCTTCTTCAACAATCAAACACAGATATTAATCGGCAGAAACAAGAATTCAGGGTAAACTTTCCACAAGATGCTATGAGTTCTCCTGAGGAAAGAGGTCATGGAAGATTTAATGGCGGCAACCTCAAATTTTCAAAATTTTGAAATGATAAGTGAAAATGCTGGTCGACATTGGAAGAAAATAAAAGGATTTTGAAAAAGAAACTTGGAGTATTTGAGAAGAAGCATGGCTGAATTAGCTCCCTGTTTCCCGCCATGGATTATAGAGTGAACATTTCAGGTAAAATCAAGAGAAGTGGGAAGAAATTTGGGGATTTGGTGAGAAAGACGAAAATGCCCATGTCTTTAATGTGTTGGAAAAGTTAGTTAGAGTATTAACATGGCATTTTGGGTAAAGAAAAAATGGGTACCTTGCGAACTTGCTACCTTCATGTATTCTATATGGATCTTTTTCTTTCATTTTGTCCAATCTTTAGCTAAGTTTGAATTGATTCCAAAGATTTGTAGGCCTTTTGAGACAACTTCTTTCCATGCGATTTTAGGTCTATCCCATTCCCTTCCAACACCTTCACTCACCATATTTCCACACATGCGGACCGGTGCATCTGTAGGTTGACCCAAGACATTTGTAGGTGAGATAAGCATTTTTTATATTGCAAATTGTTAATACATTAAGCAACAAAAACATAAGTTGAAAGTCTAAACAAGACAAAGATTGAAGCGAGGAGGGCAGGGTGAACCGAGGGGACACTATCTCCTGTAAAGGCAATTAGCTATCCTTCAGCACCAACATAATATATACGGTAAGAAACTGGGTCCTTTGTCCCCTTTCTAACAGGAGAAATTTAGCCTCTTATTTGTAACTCAAATGACCTAGAGTATAGGAAACTAACATTTGTATTGCTGTGGATGATAATTGTAATCTTTAGGAGATATAGTGGCCCCTTTCATGGAAATATATGATTGCTAGTTGAACACTGGATGCCCCTAAGAGGTGGCAAATATTCATTGCATCAATCTTGTATTGGATGGAAACATTAATGCCAAATTAACTTATACATAGATTAAGTCATCTGGATTAGTTTCACTTATTTGATGAACATGCAAGTTAAACTTAAAAGGATTTTGACGAATAATCTGTCTATAGGAAATAATTACTTAAGTCATTGATTTTGTGTATTTCATTTGTGATTGTATATGGTTTGGATTTCCCCTCTTCTCCAGTTTATAACTTAAGTTCACTGTACAATTTAATGACTTGGGTAGATGGTATTACCCTTTCTGAAGAAGAAAAAGAAGAGAGCTTTTGATGAACTTGATTAATTAACAAGTTCACGCAGGCTTCTTATACAAGAAGTTTTAACCTACTTACAGTATGTTAGGTAATTATTCCATATGCCTAATAAGTTAAGTAAACATTTTATAGCTAAATTCTCCCTTTGTGTCCTATTTTATGTGACAAACTTTCCTTTTCAATCTGTTCAATAAGAATGACACCTTTCTCATTTGAAGTCATAGTGGGGATAGGAAGTTTCACTTGGTAAATTGGGAGACTGTCACAACATCAAAGAGATGGGTTGGGCTTGTGATTAGAGACTTAAAGGTTTTCAATAAGGCTTCGGAAAGTGGTTGGGGAGGCTTTGGGTAGAGAAGAATGCTTTTTGAAGAGAGGTGATCATAGAGAAATATGGGATTTTGGAGGGGGT